TGTCTTCATAGCACACACGGCAGCTAGCAAGGGCTTTGCAGCTGCAATGACAGAAGTACCAATGTGCGGACAGAGCAGAATTCTATGTAAAACATGATGATTAGTGCGAATGCACAGCAAATGACACTTACTGCTGTTGATGTAATCATACGATTTGAGTTACCAATGTTGGAATTGCAGTACTTGTATAGCTGCTGTTTTGTAGGGCACTTGAAGCTGGAGAGTCGAAAAGCATCTACTTCAGTAACCCATAGATAGTGGTAAAGTAAGAATTCACTCATGGATCTGGATTTTTCAGTTTTAATGTAAACGCTATCCAAAATTAAAGGTGACATAAAGCTATATTTAATATAACTTGTTTCCTCTCATGAATTTGCAATTCCTTTATAGAAACCCTTGAACAAGACATGGAGAGTACAAAGCATTAATCACAAGGTATTAAAAAAAAAAGAAATATGTAACATTGCTACTTTTAACCCATTTTATTTTTAACAGGCTTTTTAAAATTTGCTCTGGTATCTAGCCACTAAAAGCAAAGTTAAATTTGAGGCCATTTCTCTACTATTTTTTTTGCAAGTCTGGAAGAACTGATTGTTGATTTTATAATAGAAAAAGGTGACTTTCAACTTCTTAAAAAGTTAAGTAAGTGATTTGTAGGCAGTGCAGCATTTTAATCTTGAAGCAGTTTACAAACATCAGTTAAGTCCTGAATAATCTGTAAGGAAGTTGAGTGTATTACTATTTCATCTTTAGAAATCTATTAAGCGTGGAACATAATCTGTTACCCTCGGTGTAGAACTTCTGTATGTTTTGTTTTACTGCAAATTTAACTTTGTTTTGCAGAACTGCCCTTCCTATGTATGTCAAGTAACTTTTGGTTTTAGGAAGTAAGCAACTTGTGAACGGCTCACTGGCACCTTTTTGGTAGACCGCTAAATTCAGGCAAACTCTATGCCAGTGCAGAGTCCAAGTGCATAGAACAACTAAAAATCCAACTAATTTAAGCATAAACTAGATTATTTTTTTAAAAGCAGAGTTAGGCTCAGCCCTTAGCTATATGCTTCTCAACAGATTTGCATCCCAGTTTATTTTTTCCTGGTCTAAACAGCAGAGGGCAGAAAGTTTGTTTTTTATAATCTACAAAGGAAAAGTTTAGCTATACAATCATTTTTGATGTTTGTCTTCTGGTAAGAATTGTTCATAGACTCAAGACTTAGCCTGGAATGTATTTCACCATATATTGTCCAAATTCGTGATCAATTTTAAACTGAAATTAATAAAACTTCCAGTTTTCAACCATTGTAAAGCATTGTTTCTTGAATCTGCTAATTAATTTGTTAAGCCACTTAGCGAAAAACATAATATAACCCAATTCTTATAACTCAGGATGATGTAATTTGTTTGGTGGTGTAAAATGTTTATATTCTTTTAAGCATTGAGTAAACTCAAGAAGCAATGCTTTTCTTCCTCTTGTTTTCTTTTTAAATCCTTTTGAATGAACTCTGCATTATCACTGTTTTGTAAAATCTATTGTTTACGTTTCTGGTCCAAGTGTTAATCAATTCCCCATCTCCAAAACGTATGTAGGCTCTCCTACAAGCTTTATTTTCTTGTACTTCTGCTTGTCCCTGCCATGCTTTCTTGCAAGCTTTTAATGTACTAGACTAAATACTTTTTCACCTTTTAACTGGCTAATTAATTAGATGTTCCTTGAATTATATGAGGAAAACCATTTTCATTTAAACAGCTATGGAGTTAGTTTAGGTATACACATACATAAATAAAATCAGTATCTGGACTTTGGATTAGGCCTACAATTCTCATTTAACAGAAAGCCCACTGAACTAAGATTTTGTCTTAACGTATTTTGAATTTAACATTAAATGTATTAGACCTGTTCTAAATTTAGTGCTGTTTCTGAAATTTATCCATGTATAGACTCAAAGGTATAACTGGTGATTTTGTTTCAGTTCCAGTTTTTATAAGAATGCCTGTTTCCTATGCTGTGACTTTGTAATATTAACAATAGGCAGTGTGTAGGAAAGGAAGTCCAACATCAGGAGTAACCTGGCAAAACTCCATGAGTAAAGCTCTGCTGTTTCTTACTTATCTAAATAAAGGGAAGGAAGTCTCCTGTCACTGTATGCTTGGCTTTGTGGTCAGGGTCAGGTATACTACAGCACAATCTCTTCTTTTAAATACTCTTGCTGATTTTATTTTCAAGATAAGTATAAATTGTGGTGGTTTGATTACTGCAGTTATATCTTGAAATTTCACGCGCCCATCAGATTATTTGTATCAATAGAAAACACTTAGGGTTCTGAGTTTTGATTTATTTGAAATGTGGCAGGTTTTAAACATTACCAGGAGTTCTACTGAAGATGGAGTAGTGAACAGACTGCTTTTACATGCATAAAAGTGCAGTTTTTACTGTGATTGTGTAATAGAATTTTAGAATACATTTTAGGAATTACCACGATCTTCAGCTTTATGACTTGTTTATTCTAGATTCTTTATGAAGATAAGGACAGGCAATCCTTCAGTCCATCTGTCAAATTAATGAAGTTTGTAAGAGGAACACCATTCTAAATAGTTGCATCCTGATTGTCCTAAAATGTAGACAATATTCAGGCTAAGATACAAGCCATAGTGACCAAATATGCTGCAAAACACATTAAATACATTTTTTTGCATCATTAAATATGTAGGAACCTTCTACTGATCTTACTCTTTTCCTTTCCCTATCTATTGCTCTGCCAAAGTTATTTTTTTGGCAAAAGGAAAACTTAAGTAAACAGATTAAAACTGAATTTCACTTTACGGACTCTGTCTTACTCCATAGTGTGCTTGTGTGCGTGTGAACATTCAAAGCAGTCTTCCTAGTGCTCCTAACAGATACTTAAAATACCGGAACTGCAGAAGTCGGGAAGCTTCTCTACCAGGCCTTTCAAGCATTCTGTGTTCATAGATTTACCGTAAGATAACAGCAAATTTCTGTCCTGTTAGGTTTGTCTTTAGCAGAAGCCCTAAGTAAGCTCTAATTTTAGAGAAATCCCTCAGTTGGTACTTACACTGTTACTGAGACAAAACCTATTGTAAACATTTTTGTTCTGAATTGCCGGAACTGGTTAATAATTTGACACGGATTAAAATCATCATTTATGCTTTTCTATATTCAAAAGTATCTTCTAATTTCCTGATCTAAGAATTCACAAGTTTCCCAAATACTTCTCAGTTCTTGCTGGGGATTGCAGTTTTGGGTTTTGCTGACAGACAGTTAACAGTCTGAAGCAGAAAGTGTGGCAGGGGCAGCCATCTCAGCCTGTAGTGTTGATGAAGCTGGTCTACTTAAGTTGGCTAACTTTGCGTGAACCTAGACCATGCGTGAAACGTACAGATGTTCCTTTCTGCCAGCTGAGCCCTCTTGGACAGTAGCATCCAGGTAGCAGATGGCTGCAAGCAGTTTGAGGGATGAAAGCAACTGGAACTGTTCCAAGGAGATCTAAAATAAGATAGTCAGTGCTTTGAGAACCAAGAGTTCAAGCCCTAATAAAGCTAACTTGGGATCTTTTCAGAAACTTTGTTGCATAAAAAAAAAAGAGACTTTGTCATTTGTCTTGATTTTGTAATTATTAGAGGTTGTGGCACTTTTTAAAAAAGATTTTCTTCAGTGGTCTTTGCTTATTCACGTGATCTGAATTTTGAGGGGATTTCCTCCTAACCATGGCTAATTTAGGGATGTGTTGTAAAATCTTGTATCACAAAGAAGTCTAGCATACAGTCTCATAGTTGATGCAATCAAGAATTCACAAGAAAGCAAAATACATACCTTTTATAAATCAGTCAACAAATATCCTGAAAAGGATGCGTGTATTTTGAGTACTTCAATGTAGGTTGGTTTTACCATACAAAGTTTTCTTTTTCATCCTTTTTGAGTAAGTTCTATAATCATACCTTTTTTTAATACCTTGCTGCACTAAGTCCAATATTTCAGATCTTCCTCATGAAAACCATAAAACCAAAACAAGAAGGAAAGCAATACTATGTCTACCACTCTTCCCAGGTATCGACATTAGAAAAAAATGTGCAGTTTTATCTCTGTCAGACTACATCTTCACTTCACGGTCTGTCAGCTAACGGATGGAGATGTTTGCCTATTTCTGCCCACCTAAAGAATAAAGGCTCTCATTGGTCTGCATGCTAGCACCCGCTCTTGGGCTTTTCCCTGTGCAGCGAAACAAAAGGGGACACGGAAGAGAAGTACTTCTCTTT